CTGGATTTTACTGGGTCTGTGATAAGAAACTGGAGTAACCTTTAAGAAACTTTACAGCCACTTTGGAAGGATGGTTTATATTTATGTCTGTTATAAATGTAAACTGTAAAATTGACTCATGGTTTGTACATCTGGTTTTTATTTATTTTTTCTAAAATTATTTCCTGTGTACTTTACCAAAATGATCTCATCCATAATGATTGAACATTTTTGACATCTAAGAATGGGCCTTCAATTCACAGGTACTGTTGGACAAGCCGCATACTTTTAAATCATTACTTTGATTTATTTATTTATTGTTTCTGAGAAAAAGGGTCTCACTCGTGTCGCTAGGCCCGGGAAACCATTACTTAAAAAAAAAACATACCGCCCTGCTTTCTGAGTATTTACTTGGGTAGCCACAAGGCCCTCAATGCTTCAATCCCTGCCGCTGCTGGGGAAGGAAGCATTCCCGGTCATCAAGGCCATGCCGGGCCTTCTGGAATAAGCAACTTCTGTCAACTCTTGGGGGGTCAGCCAAGGCCCTGAACATCACAGACTCCTCCTCCACCTCCGCTTCTCATCCTGCGCCAGCCCTGAGGATGGCTCTCTACGGTGTACATGGGGCCAAAGAAGTTCCGGAGACCTGAAACCTCCTACGCATGGTGACAAAGGATTAGCACCAGGCAAAGGTTGATGCAACCGAAGCTCCTGAATTGGACTCATATCGACAAACACCAACCAGGTCCTCAGGTGGGGGGTGTGTTGTATGTTGTATACACCATGTATCGTGGGATGCAGTATGTGGGTACGTGCCATGCCATAATGTGTGTTCCACGGTGTGATACGTGTGGGGTGTCCCTAGGCATAGTGCATGTGTTTTGTATGTTACATGTGCCATGTGTGTATGATTGGCAGGTTCCCTGTGAGATTCCAGGCAGAAGCAGCTGAAAGCTGGTGGTGGTGGTGGTCTGAGTCATCGAGGACCACAAGTAAAGAGTGGAGGAGACCACGATCTTTATTTCCCTCTGTCCAACACAGCCCAAGATTGAGCTCTGTGTCCCCTGGTGTAAGAAGGAAGGCCCAGAATAGAAGGGACTTGAGCTCCTAAAGCCTGGCAGCAGCCCTTCCTTGTACCATTGGCTTTGTGCAACCTTTGCATCCTCTGCTTTACTGCTTTTGCTCCTCCTACCCACCCGCTGGAACCCCAGCCCTCAGCCAAAGCTGGGGTTCAAATGCCGTCCTCTGTTAGGTGAAGCCACAGGACCATGGATGCTATTCTGTATGAGATGTCATTGTAGAACATGTTTATTATGCATTTGTCAACTATAGAAACAATACAACACAGTCAGACCACGGTGCAGTGACTCATCGCCTGTAATCCCAGCACTTTGGAGCTGAGCAGGTGGATCCACCTGAAGTCGGGAGTTTGAGACCAGTCTGACCAACATGAAAACCCCGTCCTCTATAAAATATAAAAAAAAAATTAGCAAGCTGGTGGGACGTGCCTTCTCGGGAGCTGAGAGGAGGGGAGATGGTTTTGAATTCCAGGAGACAGAGGTTGCGAGTGAGCCGAGAACAACCATTGCACTCCAGCTAGGCAAAAAAGTGAACTCCATCTTTAAAGAAAAAAAAAAAAAAAAAAGAACAATAACCAACTAAAAATTTTACATACGTCCACAGAGAACATTTACACATTGAATTCCAAAATTGTAGTGCATTCTTTGTTAGAGAATCCTAATGCTGTTTTCTTAAAGTATAGTTTTAGATTTACAGAATAACCTTTTTTTTTTTGAGACAATTTTGCTCTTGTTGCCCAGGTTGGAGTGCAGTGGTGCAATCTCTGCCCACTGCAACCTCTGCCTCCTGGGTTCAAGCGATTCTCCTGCCTTAGCCTCCTCCTGAGTAACTGGGATTACAGGAACCTGCCACCACGCCTGGCTAATTTTTGTAATTTTAGGAGAGACACAGTTTCACCATATTGGCCCGATTTGTCTCAAACTCCTAACCTTAGGTGATCCACCTGCCTTGGCCTCCCAAAGTGCTGGGACTACAGATGTGAGCCACCACACCCGGCCGATTTGCAGAATAATCGAGCAGATAGTACATAAAGTTCCAGACACCCACTCCATCCAAGTCCTCCTTCCCCAGTAGTTTCCTCAATTATTAATATCTTGCATTAATGCAGTAATGTGTTACAAATAGTGACTCAATATTGACATATTATTAAGTAAAGCCCATAATTTCCATCAGGGTTCACTCTTTGTGTTGTATTGTTCTTTTTTTTTTTTTTTTTCTTTAAGATGGAGTTTCACTTTTGTTGCCCTAGCTGGAGTGCAATGGTATGTTCTCGGCTCACTGCAACCTCTGTCTCCTGGATTCAAACCATTCTCCTGCCTCAGCCTCCCGAGTAGCACGTCCCACCATGCCTGGCTAATTTTTATATTTTTAGTAGAGACGGGGTTTCTCCATGTTGGTCAGACTGGTCTCAAACTCCCGACCTCAGGTGATCCACCTGCCTCAGCCTCCCAAAGTGCTGGGATGACAGGCATGAGTCACTGCACCTGGCTGACTGTGTTGTATTGTTCTATAGGTTTTGACAAATGCATAATAACATGTTTCTACAATGACATATCATACAGAATAGCATCATGGTCCTGTGCTTCACCTACACAGAGGGGAGCATTTGAACCAGGCATTGCTGAGGGCTTGGGGGTTCCAGCGGGTGGAGGAGGAGCAAAAGCAGTTAAAGCAGAGGATGCAAGGTGCACAAAGCCAGGTACAGGAAGGCTGGCCAGGCTTTAGAGCTCAAGTCCTCTATTCTGGGCTCTCCTTCCTTACACCAGACACAGAGCTCAATCTTGGCTGTGTTGGGAGAGGCAAATAAAGAGGTGGTGTCTCCTCCACTCTTACTTGGTCCTCAGTACCAGACCACACCACACCAGCTTTCAGCTGCTCTTGCCTTGATCTCACATGGACCTGCACACATACACACATGCACACGTATACATACAAACACATGCACATGCCTAGACACCCACACGTACACACACGTGAACACACATATGTGCATGCACGTACCCACATATGCACCCACATACATGTGTATACACACATACACACACCCCCCCACCTGAGGACCTGTGGTGGTTTGTCGATATGAGTCCATCAGGAGCTTCTGTTGGCATCAGACTTTGCCTGAGTGCACTTTGTCACATGGTATGAGGTTTCAGGTCTCCGGACTTCTTGCCCCAGTGACACGTAGAGAGCCATCCTGCAGCTGGCGCACAGGATGAGAAGCTGGAGGTGGAGGAGGAGTCTGTGATGTTCAGGGCCTTGGCTGACCCCCAAGAGTTGACAGACATTGCTTATTCCAGAGAGCCGCAGGCCTTGATGACGGGAATGCTTCCTTCCCAGCACGGAGGGATTGAGCATGAGGCCCTGTGGCTACCAAGTAGATACTCAGAAAGCAGGCTGGCTAGTGTTTTTTTTTAAGTAATGGTTTTCCCGCCTAGGCGACAGAGTGAGACCCTTTCTCAGAAACAAATAAATAAATAAAATAAAGTAATGATTTAAAGGAGCGCTTGCCAAAGTACCTGTGATGAAGGACCCATTCTTAGATGTTTCAAAATGTTCAATCCATTATGGATAGATCATTTTGTAAAGTACAACAGAAATAAATTATTAGAAAAATGAAATTAAAAACCAGATGTACAAAACATGAGTCAAATTTTTACAGTTTTACATATAACAGACATAAATATAAATCATCCTTCCAAAGTGCTGTAAAGTTTCTAAATGCTTACTCTCAGTTTCTTATCACAGACCAGTAACATCCAGAGGGCAGGCAGGAGCCAGTCTGTGTACCACACTTTGAGCAGGCTGGGTTTAAAGCGTGTACTTCAGAGTCAGTGAGACCTGGGTTCAAGTGCTGCCTCTGCCACCTGCTGGCTGAGTGTCTGGCAACCTGACCTTTGAAAGCCTCAGTTTCCTCATCTGTGAAATGGGGAGAACAGCAGCTCATTGTGAAGAATGTGCAGTGACGCACATAAGGCCGTGGGCACCGTGCTTGGCACAGATCCCTCCTAGCTCACTGTGTTTCTGTTGGGCTCTGCGGGGCATAGTGAGTGGCCTGGGGAAGAGGAGCCAGTTGGAGGTAGCCCCTGCTTCCAAGGGAGATAAGACATGAACTCGGATGTGGCAGAAAGAGCCAGTGATTCCTGGCATAAGAGAGGATCCTGAAAAGGGCTCAAGGAGGAAAGAGTAAATTGTTTTCAGCTGGGGAGGCAGACGCTGAGTGGGGTCTTAAAGCAAGAGATGATTTGGTAGGATGGGAAGAGGGAGGGTAAACTTCTGTAGTGGGGCCATTGGCTCCAGGCGGGAAATGGGGAAAGAACAGGCCAGTTTGGGGGAGAGACTAGAAAAGCAGGCTGGGCTCAGACCAGTAGCTCAAGGGCTGTGAAGGGATTGGATTGTGATGCGGTCAGTACAGGGAGACAGGAAGCGTTGTACGGAAGTGACCCTCCCCAGCCTTGACGGAGAAAGATCACCCAGGCACAATAGAGAAAATGTGTTGGCTGGAGAAGGGATGGGTGCCAGGAGACAATTGAGGTGTCCTAGCAGCAGCCGCCAGGGCCACCATGGGTGCCACTGCTGAGGCTGAGTGCACGGGATGATTCAGGTGTGGGCCCAGTAGCTCAGGGGGCTGACGCTGGGCAGAAGTGCCCAAGCACATCAGAGGCAGACTGTGACCCCACACCACGGCCCCCTTGGAGCCTGCTGGCTGCTGTTTACCCCACATCCCAGCCATCCCCAAAGCTCCCTGACAGCAGGAAAAATTCATAGCCATTGATTTTGTAATTAACAGTTTATCAATGCCATCAATACAGACCTGCTGATGGATTGCAAAGAAATTAATCTTGCAATGTTATTTTATTTCATTTTTGGTCGAAGGCAGCTGCCAATTTTGACCTCCTTGGGGAGAGTTGGGGGAGGATGGAAAGGGCGGGGAGAGGGAGCTGGCAAGAGACAGGAGCCCAGATGGCAGGGCCCAGCCATGTTAGGTACCCACTCTGTAAGTGGCCGAGAGTGTAGGAATGGGGCCTTGCTTCATCTCCCACCTGATGACGAAGGAGTGCTTACTGCCTTGGTAGCAGGGAGCAGAAAAATGTGGAGGAGGCTTGGATGTGGGGCCAGTGAAGACCCAGCCCTGCAAGGACACTCACCCCAGCCTGAGTCCCCACAGGAATAACACTACCTGACACTGGTTAGGTGCTAACCAAGCTCTGGGTAATGTGCTGCTTCAGTCACCCTCACCGCAACCCTGAGATCTCACTCCCATGTTTTTCAGCCGGCTCAGACCCAGCTGTCACGTGGCCATCAGCAGGTGCCTCCCTGCTATGCTGGGATATAGGTAAATTTTGTTTGAACCCCTAGGTCATGGCCTAAGTTCAAAACCTTTCCCAAGATTTTAGAGAACTCCCAACAGCTCCCTCCATCACCGTGCCCCATGCTGCCACCACGGGGCACCCTGACACGGAGCTCAGCCCCTATATCTGTGCCTGTATTCTGTGTCCTATAAACAGAATTTTGTCAGGTTAGCGATTGCACTGAAGACTTGGGGAGCTGGTGCCTGGCAACGGCAGCTGCAGTGGTTGTCATGGTGTTAGCCGTGATGGGGCTAGGGGCGGTGGTAAGGGAGATACTGCTACCAGGGCACTGACTTGTGACAAGTTCTGTTATAAACCCTTGACCTGTTTAACTCCTTTAAGCCCTTGAGGTAGGCATGGCTATTATCCCATTTTACAAGTGAGGAAAATGAAGCACAGAGAGGTTAATAACTTGCCTAAAGTCACACAGCCTGCAAGTAAGGTACACAGGATTTCAACAGTCTGGCTCCAGTGTCTCTGCTGCCACCCCCTGGTGACCTCTTGAGAAATGTCCCCTGTAGATGCCAGTCTCTCCCTGGGTTTGAGCCCCAGCTCTGTCATTAGCTTCTGTGACCTCCGACTGGCAGTTAACCTCTCTGAGCCTCAGATTGGCTCTCTGTGAAGCGAGGGTTCTGAAGATACCCCTGCCCGCCTCCATGCTGCCACCTGGACCCCGAGATGGCACCCATGCCAGGCAGCACTCCCCGGCCAAGCCTGCTAATGCTTGTCCTTGTGCCTGCAGATTCCATGTACATCGAGGATCTGGAGGCTGTCCAGAAGCTGCAGGACCTACTGCACGAGGCGCTGCAGGACTACGAGCTGAGCCAGCGCCACGAGGAGCCCCGGAGGACGGGCAAGCTGCTGCTGACGCTGCCCCTGCTGCGGCAGACGGCCGCCAAGGCCGTGCAGCACTTCTATAGCGTCAAACTGCAGGGCAAAGTGCCCATGCACAAACTCTTCCTGGAGATGCTGGAGGCCAAGGTCTGATGGCCCTGCACACGGACCAATACCCACCTACAGACGGACAAACGGGCAGACCGAGGTGGAGACCTCCACAGCCACCAGCCTCCACCTTCAACCCCTGTATCATGGCTCTGAGCTGTCCCAGAGGCAGGGGTTTCTCACCTCCTGGCTGTGTGCAGACTCTCGGGTGCAGTGGGGCGGGGGACGGGGATGGGGGGGCAGGGGTGCGGGGCTCATCTGTAACTGGCTTTTTCTTTGGTATGTCTTTCCTTCTCCATGGGCGGTGCGGAGGCCTGGGCCAGGGCTGACTCCCTTCGGGAGTGGAGACCGCTGGAGCAAGTGCCCCCTCCCCTCCACTGAGCCACCAAGAGGCAGCGTGTGCATTTCCGAACTCCCTTGCCTCCTCCCCGCTCCGCGGCCTGGGTGGGCAGTGCTCAGGCTGGGTACCACCCGGAGGTTTTCCTTCTGCAGAGGGCAGGTGTGCAAGGGACAGCAGCATCTTTCTTCCAGAGGCCCTGCCTGCTCTGAGATTCTCTGGGGCCCCTCAAGAGGCCCCATACCTTCCACAGTTCCCACTCAGCTTTCAGCCAGGGCGGACCCACAGGAGAGCAGCAGCTAGAGCTCACGTGCTTCCTGGGCACCCCACCCCTCGGGGCCTAGCCCCCTGCCTGTCACCCACCGTGCCAGTGTCCACCTGTCCTCCTCCTCTTCTTCTCCTCCCCTGGGAGTCCCATGCTAATTCCTGACCCTACCTCAGAGCTCACTCACCCAGTGGGTTCAGCCAGCCACGGTGACTCCAGGGCCTGTAGACAGTAACGTGCTGGCACAGAGAAAAGCGGGGACCATATCATCCTCCCCAGAACCCTCTCCTGCTTCCTGCCTTCCCCCTCTCCCTGAAGGGCAGGTCCAGGCCAGGTGAGCCTGTGAGAAGCTCAGGAGCCTGGCTCCATCTGAGAGCACTCCGGGGGCGGGGAGGATCAGGGCAGGATGGGCAGAGGCCCAGACCCATCTTTACCAAGCACAGAAAGGCCCAGCAGCTGAGTAAGTAGGCAGGGGAGCCCCAAAGAGAGGAAGCTCAGCGGGGTAGCCTGCCTCATCCTTCCTGGCTTCCCTTCCCTGCACTCAGCATCATACCGCAGGGCTGGTGTGCCAGTGCCACAGGAGGGGTGCCCTCGCACCACCCTTGCACCACCAGAGGTTTGGTGTAGCTCCCCTGGGCACTGTGAGCACGCCAGCTCTCTGGCAGGACGCCTGCAGTCCCCCTGGCTGTGCCGGGTGACCAACCATCCTGGGATGTTTCTTTGTCCCAGGAAACTCCTGCACTCCAGGCACATTGGGACAGTGGGTCACCCTATTTCTGTGGACGGCCATGAAAGTTTTCACTCATTCAAGGGGCAGCCCTGAACACCCATTTGTGCTCACATGTTGGCTAAGGGCAGCTTAGAGGATCTCCCAAGGACGAAAGAGTATCAAGCCATGATGGAAAATGCCCCTTCCGGATCAGCTGCCTTCACAAGCAGGAATCAGAGCAACCCCCCTGGGGATCCCCAGTCAATGCCCTTCTAGTCCACCCCCCTCACCGAGAGAGGCAGGCAGATCTCACCTGGCACTAGGACACCAGGAGGCCAGGTGCCTTTCTGCAGCTTTTCCACGGAAGCCCTGGTCCTGCCTCCCTGGTTCTACCCCAGGAACCTCCCAGCCTGGGCTTCCGGGCTTGGACGTGCTGAGGTCATCCCAGACAGGAGGAATGGCTGAAATCCACAAACCGCAGAGCAGCTCTCTGATGGTGTCCCACACAGAAAATGTTAAGGATTCCAAGAGTCCTCCCAGACCAGTGGTGTGTCCCCCACGGCTCTGCTTGCCTTCGGGGAATCAGGTCTGAGTCACTTGATGAGTAGGTACTGGAGCCATTACCCAGGATGCTGCATGCCTGGCCCTCCATGCAGCCCATCTTCCCTCATTTGGGTGGAGGCACACATTCGGGGCAAAGGCCCCTTCCCAGCATCAAGGAACACCAGCTACAAACGAAGTCTAGCACAGTGTTTAGAGGCTCTGCCCCGAGGTTCTGCTCCGGGGAAACCTTCACAGTAGAGACCTTGGGGTGTGCACTTTGGGGCTCCCTCAGTCTCTCACTGTGCTGTGTCCTTGCAGCGGGGCCGAGGTGGCACCCTGTTCTGTCACTTCCTGCTCAAGCTGGAGGACCCAGGCGGCAGGGCATCATGCCCAGCTGGCATCTGCTGTCCGTCTTTTCTAGGGAAAGCCTTTCTGGCTCACCATGTAACATCTGGCTTGAAGCGTGTTGGTGTTCTGCACACTGCCTCGCTGGACCTAGTGTTGCTGCGAGCGGCCTCACTTCAGAGCCCCTTAAGCAGAGTGGGGCGGAAGTCCTGTTGGTTGGTGTCCATGAGGTGGAAGCTGCTTTTATAAGTAAACCTCAGATCACAACAGGAAACGTGTCAGTAACAATGGAACTCCATCCAATGGGAAAGTTCCTGGTACTGAAACGGTCCATTGGACGCTCAGAAAAGAAGTTTAGGGGCCAACTTCTTACCTGGAAGCCTGGCCAGATGAGGACCCTCTCCGGGGGACAGGACTGACGTAGTGGAAGGTGTTGAAGTGAGGAGAGTTTAGGGGACCCGTCCCCCAATGGAACAGATCTCAAGTTTACCCCCAAACCTGCCATTTCTGGAAAATCTGTAAAGAGGAAACAGCCCGTCTCAGTTGTACTCTCATGATACAGGTCATTTGAAATGAACCAAGAAATAAAACATAAAAATCCAACCGTGGAGAAGGTGGTATGGCTGGGTTTTGTTTGGTCCCCTTGTCCTCATACATTCTAAAGTTTCCAGACTGGCTTTGTCACTTTGTGAACTCATCATGTGTGAAACCCAATCTTTGCATATAGGGAGCTTCCTCGGGCCACACTTTAAGAACCAAGTAAGAGACTCTCAAGACTCCAGCAGAGTCGAGAGGCCATGGCAGAGCCTTAGAGGAGCTGGAACCTGCACCCACCTGTGTCGGGGGCCCCCTTTCCCCATAGACTCCGCCCTCCCTCTGTGCAGATGGAAGTGGCAGGGGAGGGTGACCAGCTTGTGACAAGAAGACCGAAGGGTCCAGAGTCCATGCTCATGGAACAGCACCAAAGAAAAGCACTATGTGGAAAGATTGTTTTATTTTCTAATAATGATAATATGGCTGGAATGGCTTCTTAAGATGTATATATTTTTTAAAATGGCAGTTCCCCATTGCAGCATCACCTCCTTGTACGTCTTTCGGCCTCTGTATATGTTCTCCCAGAGATCCCCATGTAAATCAAATGCCCTAGGATTCTTCCATCCTGGTCCCATGTATCTGGAATCTAATAAATAAGGAAAGGAACTATTGAGTTTCTTCACACATTGTCTTTCTGGGCTGACTGTCCCCTGGACAGCATTGCCCTCGGGTCTCAGGCCGAGGCTAGGAGAGGCCGTCGGAAGAGGCAACCCAGCCGCAGTGTTCCCTGGGGAGTCCCATGGTGTCATTTTAAAAGCATGTTCATCAGCAAAGCTCAGGAATGCAACTGGAGAAGTATGCTGCAGGTCTGAGAAGTTCCCTGTTGCTTTTATGCTTTTAATATCAATGGCAAGGCAATCATTAATGCCAGAGAAACGAGATATCAGATATATGTAAATGAAAACCAGTTCATTGCCTTAGGATTTGGAATTGCAACTGTGACACACACAACACTGATAGCACAGCCCACGTGTTATTCCAGGACGCACACAGGACTAGTGAGAAGCAGAGGGGAGGGCCTGAAAGAGATCAAAGAAGACATTTCAAGATGCCTTTTGTTGCAAGTAAAACACACTCTAGCTTATACCAGCTTACTGGATTTATATGTGAGTGCAGAGGTGGGGTAGGCATCAGGCAGGGTTTGATCCAGAGGTTCACAAAGTAAATAGAGTTATGGTTCAACTTTTCTGATTCCCCCTGTTCTTCTGTGTGTTTGTTTCATCCTTATGCTGGCCTCTTTCCTGGTAGCAAGAAGGCTACCAGTTTTTTGTTTCACACCCTGGGGGAGAGAGAAAATCTCTTTCTGCAAAAATGGAAAAATGTCTGAACTCCTTTCTGAACTCCACTGGGTTTTGTGTCTATCCCTAAATGAATCCCCGTGACCAGCTTGGGGTAGAATTAGTTCCACTCAGTGGCCTAGCTGCCACACTGTGGGAAAGGGGTGGGTTGGAAGTCTAGAAGTCTAGAAGACAGCCAACCATAATGCCCACAGAATCCACATACGTGGACAGCTCAGGGGCTGGTCAACTTTCAGTGAGAGGTTTGTGAGTCTCCTGAAGCTCTTGAAAGATACGAACCACATGGTTATCTTTGCATTCAACACCTTCATGCATGATATGCATTATGTACTTGTGGGAATGAAAGTACTCAATTTATAGATTCTTTTTAGGTAATTCACCTTAAAAGAATGCACACATGGCTGGTATTTATGCTGCTTTCTTAAGAAAAAAGTAATTAGGAAAAAAAATTCAACCATAATATCATGTAATGCAGTCAAAATGAAAATCTTGATTTGATTATCTGTATACTAGGATATTCTGTGCTACTTTTTCCATTTATACATGTAATTGTGATCAGACCAACTAATAGCTCATATTTTCAAAGACTTAACCCTCATCCATATCTCCATCTCCATTCATTCTCTAGTCTCTCTTTTTTGTTGTTGTTGTTGTTGTTTTGTTAGCAAAAAAGTGAAGCTTCAAAGAAAGGGGGAAAACTCAACTAATAGTCATTCATTCATTCTTTTATTCATTCAACAAATATTTACTGAGGATCTACCCTGTTCCAGACACTATTCTGGGCACGGAGACTATCTCCATAAAGAGAAAAAACAAGGCTGAGCACGGTGGCTCACATCTGTAATCCCAGCACTTTAGGAGGCCTAGGCGGGTGGATCATGAGGTCAAGAGTTTAAGACCAGTTCTGGCCAATATGGTGAAAACCCATCTCTACTAAAAATACAAAAATTAGCTGGGCATGGTGGCATGCACCTGTAGTCGCAGCCACTCAGGAGGCTGAGGCAGGAGAATGGCATGAACCTGGGAGGCGGAGGTTGCAGTGAGCCGAGATCGAACCACTGCACTCCAGCCTGGGTGATAGAGCGAGGCTCTGCCTCAAAAAAGAAAAAATAGAGAG